AAAATCAGAGTTGCTTGAATTGGTACATTCAGATGTTTGTGGTCCTATGAAGACAAAGACGCATGGTGGTGCACGTTACTTTGTGACATTCATTGATGATTGCTCAAGGAAACTATGGGTGTATGCCTTGAGGTATAAAGACCAAGTTCTTGGGGTCTTTAAACATTTTCATGCTTCCGTTGAGAGAGAAACAGGAAAGAAGTTGAAGTGTATTCGCACAGACAATGGTGGTGAATACCTTGGCCCGTTTGATTAGTATTGCAGACAACAGGGCATCAGACATCAGAAGACGCCTCCCAAAACTCCACAGCTCAATGGCCTTGCAGAAAGGATGAACAGGACATTGGTGGAGAGAGTCAGATGTTTACTTTCAGAAGCACGTTTGCCTAAATCATTTTGGGGTGAGGCTTTGTATACTGCTGCACATGTAATTAATTTGTCACCTGCTACTGCTTTACATGGAGATGTTCCAGATCGAGTATGGTCCGGGAAAGATGTTTCTTATGACCATTTGCATGTTTTTGGGTGTAAAGCTTTTGTACATGTGCCAAAGGATGAGAGATCCAAATTAGATGTCAAGACGAGGCAGTGCATCTTTGTTGGCTATGGTCATGATGAATTTGGCTATCGACTTTATGATCCTGTTGAGAAGAAGCTTGTCAGAAGCCGTGATGTTATCTTTATGGAGGATCAGAATATTGAAGATATTCAGAAGATGGAGAAGTCAGAGTCTCAAAATTATGATGATCTTGTTGATTTGAATCCAACTCCCGTGGCTCATACGCCTAATGCTACCAATGGAGATCAGAATGATGATAACAGTCATGTTCCACATGATTTTGCTGATGGTAATGTTGAAGAAGAATCAAATGAGGTACATAATCAACCTCATGTTGATAACAATTCACCTACAGTTGCTCTCAGGAGGTCTACAAGGGAAATAATTCCCTCTACTCGTTATTCTACTAATGAATATGTGCTCCTTACTGACGGGGGAGAACCTGAGTGCTATGAAGAGGCTATGGAGAACGAGGATAAGGATAAATGGGTTGAGGCAATGAATGATGAAATGAAATCATTGCATGATAATCATACTTTTGAGCTAGTCAAGTTTCCCAAAGACAGAAAAGCTTTGAAGAATCGGTGGATCTTTAAGTTGAAGAATGAACAGGGTGCTTCGTCTCCATGATACAAGGCTAGACTAGTGGTTAAAGGCTACAGCCAGAAAAAGGGTATTGACTATGAGGAAATATTTTCTCCAGTCGTGAGGATGTCTTCGATTCGAGTTGTTTTGGGTCTTGCAGCTAGCCTTGACTTGGAAGTTGAACAGATGGATGTCAAAACAGCATTCCTTCATGGTGATTTGGGGAAGGAAATTTATATGGAGCAACCGGAAGGTTTTGTGGTGAAGGGCAAGGAGAACTATGTTTGTAAGTTGAAGAAGAGCTTGTATGGCTTGAAACAAGCTCCAAGGCAATGGTATAAGAATTTTGAGTCTGTGATGATCCAACAAGGATATAAGAAAACTACTTTTGATTATTGTGCTTTTGTGCAGAAGTTCTCTGATAATGACTTCATTATTTTGTTGCTTTATGTTGATGATATGCTTATTGTTGGTCATATCTCTTCGAGAATTGTAGAGTTGAAAACAGAGCTTAGTAAGTCCTTTGCTATGAAGGACTTGGGACCAGCAAAACAGATTCTTGGCATGCAGATTACACGTGACAGAGAAGCAAGAAAGTTATGGTTGTCTCAGGAGAAGTACATTGAGAAGGTGCTTCAACGATTTCATATGGAAAAGGCTAAAGTGGTGAGCACACCTCTTGCTACACACTTTAAGCTTAGCTCTAGACAGTCCCCATCTAATGATGCTGAGAAGGCAGCGATGCGACGTATTACTTATGCATCTGCAGTAGGAAGTTTGATGTATGCAATGGTTTGCACAAGGCCAGATTTAGCGCATGCAGTTGGTACAGTAACCCGCTTCCTTTCTAATCCAGGAAAGGAGCATTGGAATGCAGTGAAGTGGATTATGAGATATCTCCGAGGCACATCCAGTTTGAAACTTTGTTTTGGAACTGGAAAACCTGTTTTGAATGTTTATACAGATTCTGATATGGCTGGAGATATTGATATCAGGAAGTCTACATCTGGTTATTTGGTTATCTTTGCAGGGGGAGCTGTTTCATGGCAATATAAGCTTCAGAAATGTGTTGTGTTGTCCACAACAGAGGCCGAGTTCATTGCAGCTACAGAAGCTTGTAAAGAGCTGCTTTGGATGAAGAAATATCTTCGTGAACTTGGCGTTATTCAGAAGAGGTATGTCTTATATTGTGACAGTCAGAGTGCTATACATCTTAGCAAAAATCCTACTTTCCATGGAAAATCTAAACATATTGATGTACGTTCACACAGATGATAATGGCTCTGATATGATGACTAAGGCTTTGCCAAAGGGGAAGTTTGAAACTTGTTGTTTGATTGCCGGTTTGGCAACCACCTCCACATAGTCGGGAGGGGGGAGATTTGTTGGGTTTGGGCTCCCAACTATGTGTATTAAAAGCCCATTTGGAGTGTAATACTCAAGCCCAAATTTTAGTCCACTTTTGATGGCAAATTAAGGGTCTAATTGTTGAGGGGTACAGTTGGTTAGACATACCATTTATGCACAAAAAAAGGGGGAAAAACAGCCGCAAGAGAGAGAGGAATCCGCTGCCTTTTTCTTCAAAATGCATATCTAGTTTTTTGGTCGATCGGAGGTCCAAATCTTGTCCGATCGAGCTGAAGTTTTAGGAGGATTCTAAAGACTTGTGGAGCTTCAATCTGAACGGTGGAGATCGAATTTCAACGGTTCAATCTCAAGTTATGAGCTTCGCACCAGCTGCAGTTTTTTGGTGATTTGTTACACTTCTGTTCCTCTATTTTGATTCTAGTGCCTTCGTAGTGTTATTAAGGGCTAGATATCATTGTGGTGCTGTTATATTGTGCATTTGTACTCTCAATTTGGTGGTAGTGGAGTTGGTTGGACCGAAGGGTCTCGTGGTTTTTTACTCTTTCACATTGAAAGGGTTTTCCGCGTTAAAATTTCGTGCCTCGTATCGTTTTATTTTTCGTGATTGGATTATCTTGTTGCTTGGTGTTCTTTGTTTGTTTGTTGCTTCTCATATATTCATTCAAGAGGGAAAGGTGTTGATCTTGGGCACTACACATTCATTTGTGTTCTTCCTTTCCCAACAGTCTACATACTAGTGATTAGAGTCTCATTATATAAAGGATAAATGACTATTATTGAGTCATTGATTTTTTTTAAAATGTAACTGATAATAAAAAATCATGTTTCATGCATATAATTGGTTTTTGGATTCTTAAAACCCGTCATTTGTAAATTTTCTTATCATTTATATTTAAATATAGTAACTTATGAAGAATCATACAATTCTCATCTTCAAGTTTTAAATATAACAAGATAGAGAACTATAGAGTAGTAAATCTAATTTTATTTAGAATTTTTTTTATTTATAATATTACTAACAAGAATAGTAACAAATACAATCATTCTGAGGATTTTTCTCAACACATTTAGCACTTTGTAGAGTGCCTTTTGGGATTATAGATGCACAAGAAGCCATGCAAATGGTGCTATCATTTACTTCACATTCACTAGGAAACTCTGTCTGGCACACTCCCTCAGTATGCATGAAGGGTAACTACAAAAAAAATAACAAAAGACAAATTGTCAAATTAAAAAAATTATATTATCATCCAAAATTATAATTTTAAAAACATTCGATCATCAAGGCCATGTTTCGGAACAATATATTTATACGATTTAACATTTTTGGAATATTTTTAATGATGTCGATCGATTAATTATGAAAATGCTACAAATCCTACAATTTCACAATATCTAAATTTAAATTTTGAAGTTGTTCATGAGGACTAAATTTTATTCAAGCTTAGTTTTTAGTGTCTTATTTCTATAGAGTCTATAATTCCTATTTTTAATATAAATTTTTTCACAGATTGAGACTTTAAATTTGGACTTTCCTTTCAAATCTTTTACAAACATAACATTTTAAATCCTGTAAGAAGATATTATGCTTGCATATTATATTACCATTGACATAATTATCGATGTTCAATCTTTTCAATTACACTCTTTCATCTACTCGATTTCATAGTGAGTGCAAATCCTCAATATAATTGACTATAATACTTTAGTTACAAAATCAACAAATTTAATTATTTTCAAAAAAGAAGAAAGAGATGACATACCAGAAGCAATTGCTAAGGCAACAATAACAACGAAAGCCAAAAGAAACTTTTTCTCCATCATTTTGTATCGTGATATTATGAGCTACCAGTTATTAAAACTCAAAAGCTTATTATTTTATGTGTATGTTTTTTTAGGGGACTTATTTTTATAGTGAAAAGCGTATAGATTTTATAATTTAGTAACATTCTACTATAGTAATATATTAATTTTCGTTCTTAGCAATTAATTATATACAATATATTTAGAATCAATACATGCATTTTTAGTTAGAAATTGATATTATCCAAAATTATAGGAATGTATTATTGTCATAAATCAGCACGCAATAAGTAAGGAATAAAACGAGGGTGATTTTCTTGAAAAATGTTACGGAGTACAATATACTACCTATGTCCCATAAAAACTATGGACTCGATATATCATAATCTTTTTTTTGTATTAGAGGGATATAGAGTTTGATATCTCGAGATATCATAAATCATCCAAATAGAGGGTTTTGATATTTCTCAAATTTAGGAAATATCTCTCCGCCCAAGCTACCATTGTCACTGCAAATTAAACCATCTCCGTTGCCGAACACCCCACTCATCACTAATTAAATCATGATATTAAATCTTTCCAAACAACGTCGTTTGAAATTTTAAAATCCCTATAATTTCTCTCAGATTTTAAAACACATATCTTATCATACTTTCAAAACTCGCCAAACGAGCCCGCATTGGGTTTGTAAAAGTGAAGTTCATTTTTCATGGTGAACTAGTATTTTAACCCGTGTCATGCACGGGTAGAACGAAATTTTGTTATATTCTACATTACTTGAAAGACACTATTCTTTTAGATTCTGACTTTAAGAGTTTTTCTTTTTGTTGAGATCAGAGAACAATATTTTTTAAAGAATCTAAATCTAATTTCCTACATTTGGTAACATAAGTGGTAGGAAATCATTTTTTAGAGAAATGATTTTATTTTTTATGGATGAACATTCATTTTCTTTGTAATTGCTTGATATCTCTAATTCTACGAACAAAGCAAAGAACTACTCTCACCATGTCTCCCTCCCCCAAACCATTTAGAACGGAACTCTATAATAGAGATTTGATAATGATCTTGTGTGAAAATAATACAATAATGTCATCTCTAATTTTGTAAAACTTTTAATCTCGTTTTTGAATATGTATTTTTTATTATTTAGTTTTACACGAACTATCATATAAAATGAGTTAATTCAAAAATCGTAACTGAAGAAAATTTGTGGATGAAGAGAGTATTTATTAAAAAAAGTTCAAACACTAATAAACATTTCAGTAAAATTAATTAAAATGTGGTACTTTAAATTCCTAAAACAAATTTCCAATAGTTCGAGAAAATAACATAACTTATGGATATTTCAATGTAGTATGATTAGATATATAATTGATATCACTATATTATTTTACTAGAAAATATTTAAACACCTAAATTCATGTGTAATTTTTAAGATTAATTGAAATTTGGGCAAAAATATTGTAAATGATAAATTTTAATTAATAAGTTTTTTTAAAAGTAGTTATCCTTTTAGAAAAAAGAATAAAAGAAAAGGAAGAAAATAATTTAAAATAGAAGAATTTAAAAAAGGAAATAAGAATTCAATTCTTTTGGAGTCCAGATTTGTTTTTATTGTTTTTGACATGCAAAGTTTTTTTATTTCTCTCCTGACACGTCACATATTACTTGTCAACAAGTGACATCATAGCTCCATCACATGTCACGCCTCAAGTCACCCAAATATCGTGTTCTTGCAGTTTGGAGTGTGTTTTTTTATATATTACGGATTAAGGATGAGGTGTTTTAACATGTGCGATGCATTTTGATTAAATGTTTTTTCCCTGTAATTTATCTTAAGTTTTTATATGGATTTTTAATTTTAGACTTTAACTCTTAAGATCTTTTTCGTTGGGAGAAAAATATTTTTCCAAAAAATTCAAGTATCATTTCCTATGTTTGTTACATGAGCGATATGAAGGGCCTGTTTTCGATTAGTGTTAGCATTTTGGACAAAAATTTAGAAGTGGAAATCGACTTTGAAAGCACTAATGCTAAACGCTCTCCATTGATAGTCTTTTCAAAACTCCAACAACGCTAATCTCTATTTCTATTCCAAAACAGACTCAAAATCATTTTTTAGGAAAACTATTATCTCCTGGACACAAACAAACAAATTTGGTTTGCTTTGGATGGAACTTCATTTTCTTACTCACTCATTTTTCAATTTTTCGTTTATTTTATATCTTTTTTCTATTTTTTATTTTATTTGACAAAAAATAAAAATGTTTAACTTGAGACAGATAACTTATATTATTTATATGTTAATTTTTTCTTCCAGTTGTTTCCTCAAAACTAATTTCAATTTAGAAACACTATACAGAACATTTTATACAGAGAAATAAAAAAATGAATAAAACTTATGATAATGGTCTCTTGTACCCTTGTGGTTTGAAAAATGAGCATCAATGCCACTTCATCTTTGTAAAAAAATGAATGAAAAATAGTTTGATGAGATATTTCTGCAACCTTTTGAAACGATTAGGGTTTTATGAATAAGTTTTGAAAACAGGCAGGGCAATGGAGCATTCCTACCTATTTGAAAACAGGCGGTGGCTGCCGGAGTCCGGCGGCGGTCAATGCTGGCGGTCAACAGTCAAAGTCTAGTCAGTACCCCTTCCTTTGATTTTATTTTTTCAAAAAAATTCAAAGTGTTTAAAAAATATGGTGAGCTTTGCCTTATAGTTTGGTGAGCTTTGTAGTTGTTTGGTGAGCTTTGCAGTGGCCAGTGATGAGCTTTATGTCATCTGACCGAAGCATGTCATCTCACCGTAAGATGTCATCTCAATGGAGTCAATCCTATATATATATATATATATATATATATATATATATATATATATATTAAATAAAATTTTATTAAAGAAAATAAAAGAAAAAAGTTACAAAGGTGGGGGTGGCCAAAAGAAACCCCAACATTACGGCCAAAAAACAAAAAAGGAGAAAATGAGAAAAAGCCAGCAACTACTGCCAAAGGAAATTACATTATATACTACTACGAAGCAATAAGGAAAAAATCCAAAAGAAGAAAAACAGTAGTATCTGAGGTTCTGCAAAGCTGCCAAAGCATATATATATATATATATATATATATATATATATATATATATATATATATATATAGGGATTGACTCCAGTGAGATGACAAGTTTCGATCAGATGACACTTTCGGTCAGATGACAGCAAATGGTTCATTCCGGATCAATGTAGTGTTCATTCTAACCCAACATAGGGTTCATTCTCACACAAGGGTTCATAAAAACGTACTGTTCATTTCAAAAAACATAGTGTTCATTCCAATTGAGGCAATTGACAACATAGGGTTCATCTTGAATAACATGACGTTCATTCTCAAACAACGTAGGATTCATTCTCACACATTTGCTCATTATAGACCTAGTAGTCATTCTAAAATAACATAGTACTCATTCCGAGTTTCCTTAGCAAAGTGTTCATTCTGAAACAACATATTGCTCATTCTCAAACAAGCTGGTGCTCATTCTGAAGCAGACTGAAAGTGTCATCTGACTGAAAAACTTATCATCTGACTGGAGTCAAACCCATATATATATATATATATATATATATATATATATATATATATATATGTATGTATGTATGTATGTATGTATGTATGTATGTATGTATGTATATAATCGCCCTTCGACCTGTTTTGACTTTTCTTCCTACTTATCTTCAGGGCATTTCTGGATTTTCCATCCCACTATTGTTATTTCCGTATCGGCTGCTATTCTTCTCTGTAAAATCAGCACAGATCGTCTCTCTTCACGTTCAACGTTTTCCGTATTCATGCATGGGATCTTCAACCAGATCTTCAGTGGTTCAATTGCGTCTTCATTCCATGAATAACCAGAAGCCACTGTCGCAGGATCCCTCCAAGAATTCAGCTTTTCTGACGCTATCAAACAATTCATCTGATGGTTCTTCTTTCTCAATCAGGTACATTCCAAATTTATTTCTTGATTCATAAATTATATAATATATTTTATTGAATTATCTGATTTGATTCTTTCTATAATTTATTGCATATAGGGTTTATTTTTGTGTGTGTAATTGAAGTGGTTGTATATGGTGTTCATCTTCATGTTTTAGTGCATCTTAACATGTAGGTTCTGCATTTTATACTGAGTTGCTGGTATCTGAACCTAGTTCCATTTCTTCTTTTTTTAAACACATTGTTCCACCTTCAATTGAAACATTGTTGTAACCCTTTCTATTCTTTTACTCTGGTATTAATCACAGACCCTATGATTTTTCTCACATTTTCATTGTTATATTATCCCTTTCTGTTCTTTTACTCCAGTATTAATGTCATTGTAATGCACTATGTGTACATGACTTCGTTGAGCAGGCACTAGCTGGGATGTTTTAGTACCCTGATTTGAGAATCCCCACAATATGCATTACACATTATCATCAGTGCATCGTAGAGAATTCGCAATTCATATTCTGTAGACTCCAAACTAACGTGTAAAGCATGATATGTGTTTTAGTGAATTATAAGAATACTCTAGTGCATATTTTGTGAACTGAATTATTTGACTCTCAGGATAAGTTTGCATTATAAACAAAGTAAACAATATTTGAGTTTATGTCTTTGATTTCTAGTCTATTCCTACATTAATGGGTACAATAATTGTTTTCTACTTGAATAGAGAGGAAGTGATGTGCTAGTGTATGAAATTAAGTGTTGATTGCAATGATTAGATGACTTTGAACATCGACACCATGTCTCAAAGACTTGTCATAGATGCATGGTCTACAATCTGGAATTGCGAGGAGAAGTTTCAAAACACTAGTTCCACTTATTGTTAGAATATAGGCCCAATGCTAGAGGGGGTGAATAGCGTTTAAAACAATATCGCGGGAAATTAAAAACGAGAGCGATAAAGTAAAGAGCGTAAGGAAGGAGCACACCGAATTTTATCCTGCTTCACCACAATGTGGCTAATCCAGCCTCCCGAGAGACTCTCTCGAGCTTCACTAACTCTATTAAGCTTAAAGGTGGTCAACATACTGATACAACTTGAGAACCCGAGTCACACGAGCCTCAAACGCCTTTGCTCGGAGATACCACACTCCAAGACTTCTCACGAAGGAACAAAGACTTCCTTCGAGTTTACAACAAGGGAATAAACCTCCCTTAAAGTGTATAGAAACACTTAAGCACTCAGGAATAAAACTTTCACAAAGAGTAGATATGAGTGAACTAGTAAACGCTCTAGAAAACGACAATTTCTTCAAGAATTGGCTCTCAAATAGCTAAGAAAAAGTGAGAATGCTTGTGCAATGAAAGAGTATTGAAATGATGAAGAATTGTGTGTAAAATGAGAGGATTTAGGTGTTATTTTATAGCCCAAAATAGGATAAACCCGTTGCAAGATTTCCAACAAGATGAGGACAAAATTTTCAGAGTTGCAGACTGGTAATCGATTGTCTAGCCATGATAATCGATTATCAAAAGATTCTTTGTCCAAAAATTTAAAATTCTATCTGTTGGAGGGAAACGGTAACACTGATAGTCGATTGTCAAGTTTTGTCATTCAACTATCAAGCCTCTCTGAAAAAACTGGTTTGGCAGAAAAACACAGATAATTGAGTGACAATAAGTGTTAGTCGATTATTGGATGGTTCTGAACCTATTGTTCAGAAACTACAGTAGCCAATAGTCGATTGTTGCAATTTGTCAATCGAGTATCAGCTGGTCAAAACCATCCCTGCGAAAACTTAACCTGAAAAACCGAGGTCTAAAAACAAAGTATTCCCAAGGGTAAAAACCAAGGTTGAAAAACATTGTATATGGTATAGAATAGTGAAACCAAGACTTGTTTGTGAAAAACCAAGTCTTCGAGGTCATTTGTCACGTGTGTACGGTTTTGACCATTTTTCACGTGTTAGACCGATTGACCAAAATACAAAAATGGTTTTTATAAAATATTTGTTTGGTTCGGACGCCAAAAACCGAACGCCGAACGCTGAATGCCGATGCCAGACGCCGAACACCGACTGAAGTGGTTTTGGTCTGGGCAAGGACCAGGGGTTTTAATAAATTAACACCTCTATTAAAAAACGTTTATTTTGATGCAAAAAACGTTTTATGATTTTGTGAAATTATTTTGACTCTTTGAGAACCGAGACTTGAATTGATTATCGGTTTGATCACACTAAGACTGACTCGACTAAGTCTTCAATTCTTGATCTTGTCCTTGAGTCTTTTGGTCTTGTTCCGTGCCATTCTTTACGCCTTGAGTTGTTCAACAAAATTCTTCATATCCACGACGGTTTGGCAATTATCAAAACCTGTCAGAAATGAACACGACTTTAGTTTAACGCAATATAAAGTGTGTTCCAACACTTATTCTTTGCTATATCCCTTGTGTAGCTAACAACACAAGTTTTAAATGTTTTCTTAAAGTTTAATTGTCAATTTACAAGTGATAGTGTATCTTTGATCTTTTATGATTGATGATATTTTTTGAATTCTTTTTGTTATTGTATTTATTTTGTTGGGTTTCAATCATTAATCGGTATGTTAAGTTTTTATAATTTGAATCAAATGTTCTTTTTTGTAGAATCCATAATTATAAATTGTTCCATTTTCGCAATTCCATTTTTTACTGTTCTTGATCTTCATGTGTTTCAAACCCCCTTTTCCTTTCTTTTTCGTTTTTTTCCCTTTTCTAGTTTCTGAGTTTTTATTTCCTTGAGCGCAACAACCGCTTTTACACTTTTCTAAATTGTAATAATGCTCAACACATACATGCCTTCTAGTTTCCAATAAGTTCTTGGTTTTTATCCTTTGGTTGGAATAAGTTAGTCTTAAGGATTTTATAAAGAAAATGACTATCAATCCCTTTTGTACATTTTCAATGTAATCATTTTTGTGAAATCACACATGCATCTTTTAGCTTTCAAAGTTCAAGTACTTCTGTACATGCACTTGTTTTTTTGTTATCCTTTAATGTTGAAACTCACTATCATCCATTTTGGTATTTAGAAAAGGCCTGAAATGAGAAAGTTATTAGTAATTCCATAGAAAATAGACACCACAGCAAAGATTTCTTAATACATTAAATTTTGGAGCATATTTAAATGCATTTGGAGTTGATTTGAATACACTTGAAGCTCATTTTTCTTATTAAAATATATTAATAAGGAAGTTATTAGTAATTCCATCTAAAAAAGCCACCATAGCAAAGAGTTCTTAATACATTTAGATTTTGGAGCATATTTAAATGCATTTGGAGTTGATTTGAGTACACTTGAAGCTGATTTTTTTCATTAAAATATGTTAATAGCACATCAAAAACCCATTACAGTAACAATTACTCCATAACACATTCCAACGAAATCCATCTCTTCTAAAATCACTTCTAGAGTACTCATATTATACAAGCTGTACTTTCAATTAAATGGAATACAATAACTACATCTAAAAAGGCCATCCAATTGAAGTCAGGTAGCAAGTGTTGATTTGATGACAATATAATTATGCAAACAAAACTCATGCAAGTAATCTTCATAAAGAATTTGTGGTCAGGATATACTGCCAAAGTTTTAGAATGGAACAAATTCAATATGAAGAGAATTAAAGTTTTACAAAGTTTAACTTTAGTGTCACATCATACTCTTATAATGATTTGCCTTTGAGGGATTCGAACCTAGATCTATATACAAGTGTATATCACTCTACCATTAGAGCTAATCGACAATTCTTTTTCCAAAAAAAAATCTTCAAAAATAAAGTATGGTTTGATAAAGCATATAAACGCATCTACAATGTGGAAGCACAAATTCATGATATCCATTACTTTACACAACTACATATATGTAGAACAAAAAATGGCTTTGAGAAGAGATTGGAATGTTACCATCTGTCATATTCTAAGGGGTCAGAACAAAGTCGCAGACTTACTTGCCAGAATGGGAAAAGACAGAGCGTTGATTTGGAGAGAGTTAGAGTTTCCACCGAATGGTGCACGTCAATTGCTAGAGGAGGATAAGCTCGGGTACTATTGGCCTAGGCGTGTGACAGTGAGGAACCTTTCTTGAGGTTCTGAGGTTGTTACCTCTCCAGTTCGATAAAAGAAAATGGCTTTGATATTGCACTTCGACCTATATAAGATGCATTTTGCTTTTTTTTATTTAAAAAATGCATTATCCCACAACCTTATACCAATAAATTGTAGGGGTGGGCAATCGGGTCCAAGAACCGAAGTCGGAACCGGACCGCTAGGTTCGGTCCGGGTTAGGGTTGGATCCTCTTTTCAAAAAATTCAAACGGTCCGGGTTGGTCCGGTCCTTATAGATTTTAGGGTCGGCCCGGTTCCCCATTTTGAAATTGTATTGGACTCAGACCGGACCGGTTTTTTAAATTTTAATATTTTTTTTAGTAAATATAAAGATATACAAAAATATACCCGCCTAAGCCCTTCAATCTTTCAGTCCTTCCAGTCACAGACAGAAAAGTGAGAAAACTTTTCGTAGTCAAAGAGTCGGAATCCATGAAGATTGTGAATTTTGTTCTTTTTGGAACCCATTGACATTATGACATTATAATCCCAAAATGTGGTTGTCTTCTTTTTTTATTGTTGGATGATCATGGGGTGTACACTTTACTCTCATGCCCCTCTTTGTCATTGTTTTATTTTCATTTATGCCTCTTTTTTGTGTGGGATGACTTGAATTAATTTATTATCCCTTTAATTTTTTAATATTAGTATAATGATAGGTTCGGACCCGTTGAGCCGTGGAATCGACCCGTTTTAAACAAGCCAGGTTAGGTCCGGTTTCAGTTTTAAAATTTTGAAAACCCGTTCCGGCTTGGACCATTTTAATAAAAACAAACCGAGTCCGGTTTATATAAATCTCGGCTCAGACCGACTCTTGCCCACCCCTAATAAATTGTATTAAAATAGTGGCACAATTATTCTATGAACTCAATTTTTGGACACATAAAACTTTGTTTTTAAACAATCATTCTAAGAAAACACACATTGGTGACCCAAAAAAGAAAAGTTGGACATTTTTTTAAATCTGGAACATCAAAGACATGAGATGCCAAAACGATTACTATGCATATTAATACCCTTACATGCATTTTACAACAATCATAATGTATAATATATCATGCTTCACCACTATAATAATTTTTGCACTTCTAATATAAAAGGCATCTCAATTTACACATGCTCTACTTCATAAGTATCTTAAATTGTGCATTTCAAAGGTCATACGATGCATCAAAGTAACTAGAATAACTTAGTGCATCACTGATCTAATGGAAATTACAAACACTTCAGTTATGCTCTCATAAAATGCACTTTCACATATCAATATTGTGACTATGCCATCAGGAAGTCCACACCCAGCTGTATGATTAATCTTGACATTACCAAAGCCTATGCAACTGTGTCTTGGAGTTTTTTGGAAGAGGTTATGATTGCTTTGGGTTTTTCTCCCAAATTTGTGGCTCTTGTTATGGAGTGTGTCTCTTCTGCTTCTTCATCCATTCTTGTCAATGGGGATTTACAGGGTTTTTTAAGAGTAAGAGAGGGTTGAGACAGGGGGATCCCATGGCACCCACTCTTTTCCTCCTGTGTGTGGAGTAGTTCTCCAGGATGCTTAACTTCAATTATCACAAGGACTGTGCTGCTTTGGGGATAACACACTTGGCCTTTGCTGATGATCTTATGTTTTTCTCTCGTGGTGATCTTCCCTCTGTGCAAGTGCTAATGGACTGTTTGCAACACTTTACTAATGTCTCAGGGTTGGCCTTGAATCCTACTAAGTCCAATATCTTCATTTCTGGGAAGAACAGGGACACTAGTCAGGAGCTACTGGATTTGGTTTCTTTTCCTCGTGGTCAACTTCCTGTGAGATATTTGGGTCTCCCCTTGGCTTCTCAAATAATCTCAGAAAATGACTTTGCACCACTCTTCAAATTTGTGAATGGATTTCTGTCCAAATGGAAGACTATGAAGCTCTCTTATGCTGGGAAGGTGGAACTTATCAGGGCAGTTATTCAAGGGGTCCAATCCTTTTGGCTCCAAGCCTTTCCTGTCCAAAAATATGTACATGATCGTATCACTTCTCTTTTCCGGGAGTTCCTTTGGGGTAGCAAATTTGCCAAAGTTGCCTGGACAGATATTTGCAAACCCAAAGCTGTAACACCCTCCGTCCCGCGAACCCGGTTCACCACGGTCCAACGTGCCGGAGAGGTTACGTAGACGGTTTTAAGGCCGTCTAGATGGAAAACCCCTTGCGTGGCTTGTAACGGAAAAACCCTTGACATGCTTTATTAAATGATGAGGATGGATTGACTCAAAAGAAGTTATTAGCGGAAGTAAATGTAAGTAAAACTGTTAGGTCATAAATAACGTAAATGCGACAAAAGGTGGGTTTATGCCCAAAACATTTTCATAAATTAAATAAGTACTCCCTCCGTCCGCCTAAGATGTTCTCATTTTGACTTTTGGTGGTTTTTAAGGAGACAACTTTTTTCCACTTTCAAATGGTATTATGGGAATTACTTTTTACCCACCTCACATAATTTACTACACCCACTTCACATTATTTATTTCATTCACCCCCATCAACACCATAAAATGAACAATTTTTTACTTTACTCTTGATCTATTGTGGACAAAGAAAAAGGGCTATTGGGAAGATCTATGGTGGACAGAGGGAGTAATTCATCTGGCCCGCACTGTTGTTCATCCGCAGCTCTTATCACCCAGTCATCCGGGTCAGGCTCCATGGTTCTCTTGCCTACCTGCGTATAGCAAAGGGAAAACAACGCTATACGCTCAGCAAAAGCTGAGTGGTAATCTAACAGTAGAACGCATAGCACATTCACATTGATATAGACATGATCGTACCTGGACTAAGTACGAGATACCACATACAAGTTTAAAAGTTTACAATTATCAATGATGCAATACCAAACAACATGATGCATGAGTTAGACTGCGCAGGGACCCCCTGCCCTTCGGTGATCATCCCCACGCGGTAGATGAGCCGAGGAACGCCTTAGTCATCCCAATGGAGACTAGAATGTGGGTGATAGCTAAGCCTAGCTACCATGTACGTACACAAGCCCTCGTGATGAAAACCCGTTGGATCCCGCAGGTTCCTGAACGGGCCCACGGAAGAGGCGCACTGGGCCTGACCCCTTGCCGTGGTGTGCAACGTATGCCATGATCCTAAACGTGCATCTAGGATATACATGATGGTATGAATGCATCAATTGGAGAATGAAGTTATGTTCAGCGCATACATATATGTTCGATTTCGTATAAAAACAATTTGTTCAACATGATGGCCTTAGGTTCAGAATTGGCTGATAATCGATTATCATGCTGTGCGACTTCTGTTCCCAAAGTCCTGCAGACTGTGATAGTCGATTGTCACCTTCTGACAATCGATTGTCGAGTTTGAGTGGTCCAAGACCTCCTAACTTCAGAGAGGCCTGATAATCGATTATTGCTTCTGTGATATTCGATTATCAGATGAACCAGCTCTGACTCAGGAATCCGCAGGGTCTGATAATCGATTATCACCTAAGTGATAATCGATTTTCACACTTGCTGGTTCCAAGGAGAAGTCCTGCGTGACTTGATAATCGATTTTCTAGTCCTGTAACTCGATTATCATGGCACGCAGCTCCTCATTTAGCCAGTTTGATTATAATCATCACGTAGGAAGTTTTCGGGATGAACGTATATGTTTTCACAGTAAATGTGTGATGAATTAATGGAGTTTCGAAGCAGTTATATTAACGAGTTTGCAATCGAAGAGTATATGTAACGAAACACCATGATAAAGTGGACACACATAGATTTAGCCGGGTAATCCTATGATTATATCGATATGATTGAACTATGAATTCTAAAGTTAGAGGGCAACGTACTCACCTCTAACGAAGGGGTTGATGGAATGACGAAATGCGATGAACAAACGGCGCTAACGAACGGACAACGAACGACCACACGCGTACGCCTTCTTCTCTTCCTCCTTCTCCTTCTCCTTCTCGCCGGAAATCCTCTTGGAGCTGCTGTGGTTTGGCCGAAATGCACAAAGGGAAGAGGAGGAGAGAGTGAGAGTAATGGTTGGGAGTTACAAATGGGTGAGGGAAAATGAAAAGGAGAGTGGGTTGTAAGGGAAATGAATGGGGAATAAATGTGAATGATAATGGTGAGTTAAGGGGGATGGGGTGGCGTATGGGTGTAATTGGGGAGTTATCTCCCAATAATTCGTTCCGTTATGTAAAATCTGACCTGAACGGTACGCGGTATTTTCCCCGAACGGGTCCGAATTGAGATCCGTTTACGTTTCTGGAATCAGACAGTCCAAACGAATATTATGACATAATCAAATAATTTTTCTAAGGATTTTATTTTCCAAACCCCGGTCCGAGTTAGTAATTAATTAATTGGATTAATCCATTCTAATAGACCGGGTTGCAGGGCGTTACAAAAGCAGAAGATGGTCTTGGCCTCAAAGATGCTGGTACTTAGAATAATGCCTTACTGTGCAAGCTTCTCTAGAATCTGACAGCCAAGAAGGATTCACTTTGGGTTAGGTGGGTTCATGCTGTTTATGTTACACAGGGTGATTTTTGGCAGTGGCAACCTAAAAGGAGACACTCTATTTTAATTTCTTTAAAAGGTTGGCCTATGTGCGAGAGATTTTGTTCCAAAAGCTTGGTGACCATAACTCCTCTATGGATGTGGCTATGCAACCTTATTGTATGAGAGATAACCTCGTTCCAGGCAAGGTCTATGAGTTGTTTAGGGTAAAGTCCAGCCCCAAGCCTTGGATGGCTTTCATATGGCATTCAACCATTCCTCATAAATGCTCGTTTACGATGTGGTTAGCATTTAGGAGGAGGTTACCCACCAAAACCAACTTGGAATTTCTTGGCCAACCCATGGATTGTACTTTCTGTGGCCAGGCTTTAGAGAGTGTTGATCATCTTTTCTTTGGCTGTTGTGTCACAAAGCATGTTTGGGGAGCTGTTAAAAATTGGCTACGCATCCAGGGTCAGTTAAGTACATTAGACAGGGCTCTAAGATGGATGAAAACCTCTAGAAGGGGCGATGATGTTTTGAAGAAAACAAGGAGGATTGTGTTGGCTTGCACGGTGTTTCAAATCTGGAAACATAGGAATGATGTCCATTTTGATCATGAAGCTCTTAACGTTGAGGCCATGATCTGTAAAATCAAATTGATGGTGTATTTTGTTTTGGGAAGGCTTTGGCCATTGTACTCCCTTTCTTATTGATGTTGTTTATGTACGGTTGTGGTGCCTTGTGTTGTTCTGCTTTTTGGCTGTATATGTTATCGTTTAGCCATGTTGGCTAACGTTACTTTGTGGATTTGGTGTGTTACCAATTCCAAGCTCGGGTATGCCCGTTCTATTTGTATATTCTTTTTGCTTCATTCTATTTACATTTTACCATTTTAATGAAACCCAAAACCCTTAATTATAGTGCATCTCACACTTAAACTTCGAAAAAAATAATATTCTACCTGCATTAGAAATTAATTCATTTTAAATAAGGTACTATGCATTGCATATAGATAAAAAATCATCATGACTAAGTTTATGCCAATGATGATGCATTTTTTATCGGAACTGTGCATAATAGATCCTAACAAACCCACTAAGTAGTATAGGGTGTGTAAAAAACCATACGCATAACACAACCCTGTTAGAACACACTTTACATTGCGTTGAACTATAGTCGTGTTCGTTTTTGATAGCTTTTGATAATTATCCAACCGCCGTGGATATGAAGAGTTCCATTGAATAACTCAATGCGTGAAGTGAGGCGTGGCACAAAACCAAAAGAATCAAGAACAAGATTTGAAAACTTAATTGAGTCGGTTTCCATTGAAACCTTTTTTTAAGCATCAAATAAATTTTTTTTATAAGTATTTTTAAGTTTTCAAAACCCCTGGTCTTTGCTTAAACCAAAACCACTACGCTCAGCGTTCAGAGTTCGACATTCGGCATTCGGCATTCAGTTTTTGACGTCCGAACCAACCAAGTGGTTTTGAATTTTTATACTTCCTTTTTAGTTCTAGGCATATTTAAAAGGTTGTCAAACAATCATTTTATAAAAAGCACTTGTGAATGATGGTCATTGGTCTAAGCACGTGAAAATCGCTCATGCGGTCAACACATGACTTGCGACCTCGAAGACTTGGTTTTTGATAAACAAGTCTTGGTTTCTCTATTTTATACCATACTCAATGTTTTTCAACCTTAGTTTTTACTTTTGGGAACATTGTGTTTTCTTACCTTGGTTTTCAAGTTGGTTTTTCGTTGGCTGGGTTTTGGCTGAGTAATAACCGATTATCACTTTTGCTAATCGATTATCTTCCCTAGGCAGCTTTGAACTCAAAGTTTAGAAGTGCCTGATAGTTGATTATCACATTATTGATAATCGATTATCATGGTTTGGCTGCCAAACCCAGAATTTTTAAAGAGGTCTGATAGTCAATTATTAGGTCTTGATAGTCGATTATTAGTGTTACCGTTTCCCTCCAATGGATAAAATTTTAAAATTTTGGAAAAAGAATCTTCTGATAATCGATTATCATGTTAGGATAATCGACTATCACACTGTGTTTTCAAAATATTTCTCATGATCCTGTTGGGAGTTCATGCAACGGTTACACCTCCTTTTAGCCTATAAAATGGCACCAAAAACCTCTCATTTTACACACAATTCTTCAACTATCAATACTCTTTCATTGCATTCTTATCTTTCATATTTCATAGTTTTTTATAGCCAATTCTTGAAGAAATTATTGTGTTCTTGAGCGTTAATTTGTTTACTCATATCAACTCTACAAGAGAGTCTTGTTCTTGAGTTCTTAAGTGTTTTTATACACTTGAAGGGAGGTTTGTTCCCTTGTTGTAGTTCGAAGGAAGTTTTCTTTCCTTCAAGTGAAGTCTTGGAGTGTGGTATCTCCGAGCAAGTGGCGTTGAGGCTCGTATGACTCGAGTTCTCAAGTTGTATCGGTTTGTTGAGCACCTTTAAGCTTAACGAAGTTAGTAAGACTTTTGAGAGAGTCTCTTGGGAGACTGGGTTAGCCACAAGTTGTGGTGAATGAGTATAAAATACAGTGTGGTCTTTCCTTACGCTTTTTACTTTCTTTCACTTCGTTTCAAATTCATGTAATTTTTTTAAACGCTATTCATCCCCCCTCCAGCATTGGGCCTTTATTCTAACAATTAGTATCGGAGCCATACTCTATTAAAGACTTAACCATTTTAGAGAAACAATCAATGTCTTCTACTCAAAAC